GAGAGGCCATGTTTTCCATGCGGGGAAAGGCGCATAACTGTTGCGGTCTGTGTACCAATGGCAGGAGTAGGGGGCGTTGGGAGACCATCGTCCGGGGGAACGTAGTTCCTCGCGTCCTTGTCTTCGCCTTGGCCTTTCTAATAAGTGCGGCCGTTGTGATCCGCTGTGATAGCGACGGGCTTTTTTTGTGGTGTTAGGGTTTTTCCTTGAGAGGTTTTGCCCGGACGCCGGGTTTCCCCTCCATATATTACCATTTTGGTATTTTCTGATGTATCCTGGGGCGTTCTTGCCCAATTGATGGTTAGTCACTTGAGTGAAGAACCAGGGAGGGTGTTCGTGGGTCTGCGAACATTGCTGTTGGATACATGTGCTGGATGATTTTGTGTCACGCAGACTGGTAAGATAACCGTTTGATAGGGGGCACCGCGATGATTCACGGGGCCCCTCTTTGCTGTGGGAGCCGCTCTTTGAGCACTCCCTCTTTCGTCCGTGTGAAGGACGGTCGTCTACCTCCCGTGAAGTTAATACATCACCAAAACAGTCTCACCCGATAAATAAGTGGCGTAGGCCGCAAACCGAGGCCTTGCACGTCACGATGAAAAGAGTAGTCGGAAATATATACGCTCGCGATTTGACGAGAGTGGTTTCGAGACGTCAAATTCCACTTTTGTCGATCGTGAACGTTCTTTCACGCCAAATCATCAACAGGGATTCGGGTGCAGGGTCGGCCTGCCGGTTGCCAAGCACAATTAGTTGAACATTAGTTGCATCAGGATGGACGCGTGACTAGCATCGAGAATGCTCCTCCGAGAGTTGACCTTCGCGCCCGGCATGTATAGCTTGTGGAGGGTAATCATTGGCTGGTCCCGCGGGGAAGCTTGTTCGTTCACCTTCCCTCGATTTGTGATGTTTCGCTGGAGAGTATCACGAGGAACATCGCCGAGGGTGCATGGGCCTCTATTTCCGACGTCGGCATTTTCCACGTCTATTGAGCCGTAGTTTGTATGTAGCCTCTCCACTTGCAAAGAAGACCGCTTGTTCGGGTTCGTTGGGATGATGATGCCCCCCCTTTGCCACCCCCACGCCGGTATATGCCCCCCCTGCCTTTTTCTGTGTCATACTTGGGGTGGTGCTCCCATGGGAAAAGTTGTGACTCGGCTCCAAGTGATTGGGATTCACACGTGCCCATTTCTTTCCCTTTCTTCCCCTCGCTGCCTCGGCAAGGTTTTGCGTAGGCATGACCCTTAGCGAGGGGGGGGGTCTTTCTAGCGAGCAGGGCTAGACTCACCCTCAAGGGACCGATACCTTCTTGCTGCGGCGCACCCACCGCGAGGCGTGCGTAATGGTGGAGTTGGGTCGGCACTGGTGCGTCAGGTACAAAGGTGCAGATGCGCGGACCTCCAGGCGTCGGTGTAGGCAGCAATGCCCATCTCATCTTTGTGCGCGGAGGCAGACGTCATCAGAAAGGTGGACGGGCACTATGTACACGGCTCTAGGTTTGCTAGAGGGATCTGTACTGTCTCAGTAACCTGGTTTTGCCATCAAAGGAGGAGGGGACAGGTGGTGACGAGCTGATTGGGCTGGTTGATCCTTCGGCGCGAGAATTTTTAGACCAAGAACCCTAAGTGCAACGAGGGAGAAAGCGAGGAACCGACTGGGATGGACAGCAACGAGAGCGTGTACGAAGCGGAGCGGGTCGAGTTTGGTCGTGCTAGGACTGGCCACAGCGGCACCGGAGCAGCGGCACCGGAGCAGGCGGACGACATCGAACCGTGGCGCACGGACAAACATCTCTTGTGTTGTCAAATATTTCTCCGTTTTTTTCCTGGATACAGGTGTCGGGTGTGTGTGGTAACGTCACTGGTTTTGTAGGGACGCGGCAGAGAATGGCGCAGATAACCCGCGTGCCTCACTTGTGTACCTGCATCGTGGAAGACCCCTTCAATGTGGAACGATTCCTAGTCAGTGTCGATGATTAGATTACACTGCTGTGCCTAACACAGATGATCTGGATAGATTGGGGTGATTGTCAATTAATTGCAATTATGGCTTTGGTTGGATGTTCTTCTTCATTGTATGTCCACGGACTCATTCTGACAGCACATCAGACAGCAGCTGCATGCCCCGAGCTTGTGCACCATGCATGCACCATGGTGTTATTTTTGTACAGACAGCACTTCAGACAGCAGTACGCTGTAGTCGACAAACATTCATTTTGGTTAAATGCGGGACAAGGGGGGTGATGCTGCTGCTGTAGTCGATTTGTAGTGTGTGGGCGTGTAGTTCAGTTGTGAGCATGCAAACGTGCTGCAGGGATTGCAGGTGTACCTCCTCGGGCTTGCGTACCCTTTTCTTGCTAATAGTGTGCGTGTTCTTTAGATCTTCTGATGGCTCTAGCATTTTGGTGACCACGGACCGAGTCTTTGCAATATTTTAGCAACTGACACGAGTTTAATGTGAAGAACAACAACAACAAACAACATCAATTTCGACTTGGGAAGTAGGGCGAAGATGTGGTTGTTATTGTTGGCTGTATTTGTGACAGGGGCAATGATTTACTTGAGGGCATTTGGTTTTGTGAGAGCAGTCAAAGATGAATCTTGACATCCTGTGGCTACGGAAGCCACGTCGGGTGGACATGTAGTGTATTAAGCAGAGATCGGACCGTCGATGTTATTTTGAACACAGCAGCGACAGCTACCTGTCATCAGTTCACAAGTACGCAGTCTTTCTCCAGCTCCCGTCCAACTCGAGCGTAATGATATCTGCTGAAAAGTCTACTCCCGAAGAAGCCAAACCTTTCATCAGCGTGGGGCACAAGCCAATGCAGACATATACCTTCGGAGAGACGAACAATAAATCTTGGCCCACAACGAACGAGCACTACCAACCCTCAAAATTCGGAATGAACGAATGAATGTCCCCGAAGATTGCTCCGATCACAAGATCCAGACAAGTTTCTAACGTGATGAGCACCCGGTATACATAGTTCCAGATAACGAGGATCGTCAGTTATTGATGGACCAACGCACGCACGTACCCACGCGTTTATCTTCTGCTCCTCACGAACGTCAAAGATATCTTGGCACAACTATTCGCCAGGATTGTGTAAATCAACGAGACGAGCATCGTCGGCGTTGCCTGTCTGAAGCTGATTTCTTTTCGCGGGTCTACGTTGCTGCTGGCTGAGCTTACTGCGTTGTTTACAGATCACGACCCGACGGCGGATGGAAACTAAAACAGGAACAACAACGGTTGCTCGGGAAATAGGCCACCGTTCGTTGTTGTGGCCAACCAGTTTACAGCCTTCCGTGGCTTGCCCAGCCAGCCAGTCAGTCACACACGCGGTCGCCCCGGTGGTCTAGTGGGTAGCTTCGTAGCCTGCTAAGGGCCAGGTCATGGGTTCGAGTCCCGGCAGAGAGAGTTTTTTTCTCAGTAAATAAATCCTGGTCTAGGATGAAAGCGGCGCGCTGCAAAGCTCGTTTCTTAGTAAACCATAATCGACTTCGTAAGTCGCGAGGGAAGGGATTGCTGTACCCTTCTCGCGATAAAAATACCTCAGGCATGAGCCGCAGGAGAGGGTCCAACCCCCCCCTCCTATGTGACCCCGGTTGGGTCGTCTAGCTAGTAAAAGTGGAGGATAGGGGCCAGAGGGGCAGACGACAGAGTCCAATGATGGGCGAAAAACAAACAAACAAAAAACTACCTTCTAACCCCTGAACGGCAATGAATGGTACAATCAATGAATATCGAACAGTTTGTTGTTGGCGATCATGACACCGTTTGGTGTTTCTTCATCTTCTTGATAATGGACTATCGCAACGAATGAATCCATCTGAATGCATGCCTGGATGAGATGCGTTTTTCAAAACATATTCAAGAAAATGACAAAATATTGCGCGCATTCGTACGTGGTCGCGCACTTCTTCTGAAGTACTAGTATTCAGGATGGTGGTGCATGTGCTTTAGCATGCGCTTTCGTCAGACCATACCTTGCAGGCTCTACTGTAGTTAGCGCTGGTACCTCACTCGGCCCGCATACATGTTCAATGCAAAACCGCCTCTTAAATGAACATGATGTCGTGGTTGCTGCCACGCCGACCCTGAGATTCGATATTTTCCGACATTGTTCGAGAAGCCAAAAAGAGCGATCGAAACAGGAGGATGGAGGGCGAACCGGTCAATCAAGAGGACCGAAAAAGCGGGACAACGCGCATGGTAGCACCCTTCTGGCGCAACATCCAACTTGTTTGATCGTCGACTCGACGGATGCGCTTTCGCATCACGGTTTTTCGGCACGTTGTCACATTGGCAACTTACTCGGCCCACACACACTTCCGTTTTCTCTGCCACCATCTCCGATGAAAATTGTCGAACAATGTTTGGGGTGTCGGCGCGTGTACTATGTTATCACGCTCGCGGGCTCTTGTCGAGAGCGTGTTGCACAAAGGAGTGACTCAAGTTCCTTGATTAACTATTAACGAGTGACGAGCATGAGCAGCAGGCAACAAGGACCTGCTGCTGCACACACGTCTGCATATACCCAAACCTATCATATCTGCGTACCCCCTCGGATATCTCGGAGATCTGTATCCTGCCGAGTACATACACAAACAGCCCCCCTACTCGGTACGAGATACGATCTACGAACCTTCCGTACATATCGCCAGGCAAAACGGCAACAAAACCAAAACCATTCATCTTTCATATTCACAAATCATCTCAACTTCCCGATCTATTTAATATTCAAATTTCAAGTTACTATTCCTCCTTAATCCACTATGTATGTTGGAACTTCACTAGAGTCTTAACAATCATCCCTCTCGAGAAAATGTCGTCACCAAATTCTCAAGCAGCCAAAAACCAAGAATCATCCTTAGAAAAATACTCCGCAAAGATCAACATTACATCAGAGTCACGTCATGAAGACTTTGGACGGACAACTCCGGAAAAGTGTGTCAACTATTACTTCGGACAAGATCCTCGCACAAAACCATGTTTCAGCTCATTGACCAATCTCAAATAAGCTTCGGAAGCACATAGGCCTCAACCATGTCTTACCAAAATATGCCAATTCCTTCCTTCAATATATCATTCAGAAAAACCAAAATACCAAATACGGCAAAAGAGACAAAGGTTAAAAACCCGGCGCATATTTAAACGCCAGAGGAAACTTTCACCAATTAAGCCGTTTCTCAAACAAAGAGACAACATCAATTTCTTAGCAGCCCCTGGCCACAATATCTCCCAAAACATAAAAACTTAACAGCCCTCCTGCTGCAATAACTCCCGAAACAGAAAATGCAAGCCATCCAGTATTTCGTCTGGATTGCAAGAAACAGAATACAAAACATATACCGATTGACATCTCCCCTTCGACATATCTCCGACCATGGAACTCAATCCGTCCTACAGCAATACATGCAAGGCACAACTCTCGAATACTAACAACGAGAAAACAAACAAATATCATGAACTTATCTCCGAAAGCCGCAGGTAAAACGCGGAATCGGAAACAAACAAGAAATTCTCCTCATTTTCCGCAGGTAAAACGGGGAAAACGTTTACAAAATGAACAAAAACCAAACCCGAACGTCTGCTAGAACGCTGCTTGTACTGCGACGAGGATCATGGCATCACAATCACATTCATCCCCCCCCATGATTTTCGACAGCAGTGCCAGCAGTGGTCCAACGATGTCAACTGAACCATTCGGCGTGCTGAATTCTTAGATTATCCAAACTCAATGCCCAACATATGAAAATCACAATGTAACCAACCATGCGCATCGCAACTCTAAGTCTACGTCGACACAGTTCTCAAACTCATGGTTTTCGACAAACAAAACAAAACCAAACCTAGAAATAACCCAAACACAATAATTCTCACAAACGTGCCTGAACCGCGCGTAGATCCAGAGCTGCGTCGTTGCAACCATCGGTCATCCCCCACTGGAGCTCCCGATCACGAAGTCTCTTACTTCCTCCTCTGGAGATCCCGATCACCAAGTCTCTCACTTCATGCCGCACACTTCTGCCACGATCGATCCTCCCTTCCTGGCATTACCCCCCATCGTCCCGCACGACGTAGATGCCATTGCTCACGGTCGGATGGGCGCCGGGATGCCTTGCACCGGCGGACAACGCCCCGATGCCGCCGTCACCGCTGCCGTCGCTACTGTTGCCACCTTCGTCGCCATGGCCCAACCAACAGCTATCCTCATCGCACTCGTCCTCCGGCTCTTGCGCTGCTGACGCTTTAGCCGCAATTCCCTGCGTCCCAACCGGCTCCCACACCGCCGCCGCGGGCAAGACTCTGCTGCCGGCGGTCGCCGCTCTCGCCGCCGGTGCTGCCGTCCATGCCGTTGCTCCCGCCGCGAGTGCCTGCGCCCCGGCCGTCTCCCCTGCCGCCGCCGCGGGGAAGATTCTGCTGCCGGGGGTCGCCGCTCTCGCCGCCGGTGCTGCCGTCGATGCCGCTGCTCCCGCCGCGAGCGTCTGCCCCCCGACCGTTCCCCCCGCCACCGTAGTGGGGAAACCACCATCAACGGTCGCCGCTCCTGCCGCAGGTACTGTTCCCCATGCCACCGCGCCAGCTGCAAACACGGGGAGCAGCGCCTCCTGTCGATGCCTTTGCCTCCTCCAGCGTCGTCGCTTCCGCTGCTGGTGCGGCATAGCGTCGTTGCCATTCGCGTTGAGACCCTCTCCGTCACCGACGGGCACGTGCTGTTGCATGCGGTCGATTGTGCAACACATGCGGCGCCGATGGCCATACTCACCGCAGGCAGTGCAGTTGCCTTCAAAGCGTCGTGGCGCATTGCAGTCGCCAAGTGAGTGTCCATGCCTCCCGCATCTCACGCACTGATGAACGACACCAATCAGAGCACCCTGCGGCGAAGCTGACTCCTCTTGCGGGTACACAGCGTTGCGCCCACAGTCATAGAGCCCCCCAGATCCCCACGTCGGGAAGTTAGGAGGTGGGTAATGTGCAGGTGGTGGCTGAGGACGAACCCACTGCTGCTGCTCCCGCTGTTGCCGCCACCGCCGTTGTAGTCCCCCCTGACCGTGGCCACCATGACCGGACCCAAGCCCACCAACCGTCACCGCTGCCGCCGGTGCCGCCTGCGCTTTGCCCAATTCCTTCATCATGACCTTGTTGGCGTATGCCGCGCGAACAACGTTTTCCACCTTCGCTCGGGAAATGGTGGGGTCGGCCAGGATGGACTTGCGTTCGATATCGTACTCGTGCGCAAGCTGGCGGACAATGATGTGCACGATAGCCCGCTCAGATTTTTCGATGCCGACAGCTTTCATGATGTTGATCACTCCGTCTACTCTGGCGAAGAAGAGTTTCGGGTCCTCGCCGGGATGCATCTCAATCGTCTCAAGTCGCCTCACAAGCAACGTCTTCTCAGCGTCAAGAGTAGGCAACAGCCATTCGTGGATCACGCTCCACGCCTCAGGGACGCAGTCGCAAGCACCCAACCGTTCTTCAATGTCCGTGCCGCAGGTTGCTTCCAACATGTACCCCCACGCCCGCTGGTGAGCTGCCACCAGATGTGCACCGTGAGTCTGGTTCAGGTATGTGCGATCCAGACAACTGATAACGTTGACATAACCAGTAGATGGCATGTGGTCAAGGGTTCGCTCCAAATCCTCGACAGCCAGGAAATTCCGCATTCTCCGAAGCCAGCTCACGGCCTTCGTCGAATTCGTCGGGATTTTGGGCGGGTTGCGACTGCTGCTGTAACCGCTCAAAGCACAATTTCCGTCATTTTTCATGCTCACCCGTTGTGTACCGAGCCCAGCTCCACCAGCTGCCCCGGCAGTCGTTCTTCCGGCAGCCATTGCTCCTGCCGGTGCATCGTTCTTCTCCCTTAGATGCCCATATTCCATCTCCGTCCAGTACTTCTCCCACATGTTCTTCCTCCGCCTAATTACGCCGCAAAAAAAAAAAAGCGGCACGATGTATCTCCTACTGCTGTGTCTTGTAGCTAGACTTATTCTTGTTCACGTAACTGGATCTCCTTGGCACGCTTACCGCTGCTGCCCTTGTATTCCAAATGCTGTCCCTGGATCTCCTTGGCGCGCCTGTCGCGGCTGCCCTTGTATTCCAAACTCTTACCCTGGATCTCCTTGGCACGCGCGGGCAAAAACCGCCCTGCTGCTGCTGCCCTCGTATTCCAAACCCTGTTCCCTGGATCTCCTTGGCGCGCGCGGGCAAAAACCGCCCGCTGCTGCTGCCCTTGTGTTCCGGTGCCTACCTCCCGAACCTTTCCCTACCGACGTCAGCTGACTACACGATATCGTGTTTGGGGTGTCGGCGCGTGTACTATGTTATCACGCTCGCGGGCTCTTGTCGAGAGCGTGTTGCACAAAGGAGTGACTCAAGTTTCTTGATTAGTCTAACTATTAACGAGTGACGAGCATGAGCAGCAGGCAACAAGGACCTGCTGCTGCACACACATCTGCATATACCCAAACCTATCATATCTGCGTACCCCCTCGGATATCTCGGAGATCTGTATCCTGCCGAGTAGATACACAAACAAACAAATCGGACGTTGAGCTTCGATTTTTGCCGACATTGTGAGATTGTTCAAGAAGACGAAGCGCAGATGCATTAACTGAATCTTCATTGCTACTCTATCCCGGACTGTGACTGCGGAAAAGATGAATTTATTGAGTTATACAAAAGTATAAATAAAAAAGTGTTGACGGTAAGGCGGCGAACCAGAGAAACACATTTGGTCGCACACTCGTATTGTGGTGTATGCCATATTGCTTGCTGTCGGGCGGACCCTGAGATTAGATTTGCTCGGAATTTGCCAAAAGAGCGATGAAAACAGGCACACGGCAAAACGGTAAAGACGGGAGAACAACAGCGCGCATGGTCGCACATGACCGCCCACTTGTGGCTCACGCTGCAGTGCGCGAAAATCGATGGAACTTGGCGAGGGGCCATGATTTGCGATTCCCTAGCGAGGCATAATCGAAATGTCGTGAGACACCATGGATCGAGACTAGTTTTTGAGACAAGGTCAGGCAGGTGTTAAGGAATGTGGCTGCTAGCATGAATAGGGTACATCTTATTGTTGATTGGGTGTGGGTCGGTCAGGAGGTATACCCTTCTGACGCCTACCCCCTTAGAATTGTCTACTCTGTGTACCCCTGAGATAAAGTTGGATCCCCACTTCATCCCAGACCCTTGCTGACCGTCTCTCAGCAATAACAAGCAACTTTCCCATCTCAACGTGGTCGTGGACAAGAGTGTCAACGACAGACCTTCATCTATCTCTAGGAGCAAGCTACCGCCCACGGTTTCACCTCCCTTAAACTTGGCGTCAGCGGCAGGATACTGGTTCGAATCTCCTTGGGTGCACACTTTTTCTCTTGACTTGGACATTTTCCCATGGGCACAATGTCGACTTCGTAAGTCGCGAGGGAAGGGATTGCTGTACCCTTCTCGCGATAAAAATACCTCAGGCAGGAACCGCAGAAGAGGGTCCAGCCCCCCCCTCCTGTGTGACCCCGGTTGGGTCGTCTAGCTAGTAGAAGTGGAGGATAGGAGCCAGAGGGGCAGACGACAGAGTCCAATAATGATGGGAGAAAAAAAAAACAAATGTGTGTCAGTCCTGAGAACACTTTGGAGTCGATCCTACAAAGAACCTTGTGACACTTCCATCGAATTACGCATCCTGGCCACAAGATGTTTCCAGTTGAGGGAAAATTCTGTGGGTTGTTGTTGTTTCTCACATTAGCTCTATAGTCCACAAAAAATGGGGAGCCCGTGGTCTCAAAACCCGGCACATACGACGCCGCGAGAAAACAAAAAACAAAAATAGGATACAAACCACTCGGAAAAAGAAAACAAAATGATCGAAAGAAAGAAAAGAACAGGTATCGCACCTACTGTTCGAGAAAAGAGCCCTCGGACACCGGGTGGAGAGACCCGATTCCGAGGGTATCCGTCGATTGACTTTACCAGAATCGGTACGCCTTCGCATATTGCGTCAGCGGCAGCACCTCCTTTAAACTTGGCGTCAGCTGGCATTACACGGTAAGCGGGTGCTGGACGCGCCCTCCACACTGCTGTGTGTTGTTGACACGCTTTCTTCACAACCACTGGGGTGCCTGTTATGTGGTGCCACCACCCACGAGAATCTAGACTTAGCCTCCTCTCTGCTTCTTCTCCTGTAGAGATGCTGGCTTGCGATGCTTTTGATAAGCGCCCGCGCGACTGGGACCTTGCGAAGGATACGCGCCTCGGCCGTCATCGCGATGTTGTGGGTGAATTTTCCTTCGTTCGCCGTCCCTCACAAGCTATTTTGTCTGCATCAGCGGTCTATGAAGTTATTTCTGTGGCGGATACGCTCTGCATGCAGCGACCTGAGTTGCTGGCCTTGTGTAGTGGGACTCGAGATGACAGCATGCTTCCCACGTCTGCTGCCACCTCTACTGCATCCATGCCGGCGTACCGGCCTGTCCGCGGATTTTCCTGTTGTGCTCTCCGATTTGACTTCGCTTACGTCGACGTGGAACGCGTTGTGTGCACACAAATTGGGTGTCGGCCGTCCCAACAGCCTTCCTTCCATTTTTCGAACTCACATGGCACTTTTTGGGGGGGAATCGTTCACCCTTAACGCATTTGAATTGGAAACCTTCTTACAGCGCAAATCCACAGCGGTCTTTGCTCGCACTTCGGCACCAGTTGTGGAGGAATGCCGTGCTGCTCTGCGTGTCTTTTGGTCGGAAAACCCCGTGTCTCCATCTAACACTGGTCCCCTTGTGCTAGCTTCTACTGCTGTTTATGCGCGGCATGTTGTGCTGTTGGACGCTTTTTCTGCTTGGTTGGATCCGCTTCAACCTCATGTGCACCAAGCTTTATCTCCGGGCGAATGCTATCTTCTGGGTATCTCCGCCTCTCGCATGAACCTTGGCTTTCTTTTCCCGAGGTTGCACCCAGCTTTACTGCTTTTGCTGCCCTTGGTTCTGCTGCCTCGGCTGCGGATGGCTGTGCTACATCTGCTGTTTCTGGCCCTACTGCGATTTCCACAATCCATCGTAGCTACGCTTTCTCTGGCCCTGTCGCTACTCAAAAAGAGGAAAACATGTCCAACGGCCATATTGCACTCCTGGATTACGAAGCAGAGGGCAACCCACCGCACCGCATTTTTCGGAGGCCGGTGTGTTGGTATGTCCGTACTTGGGAGGAGAAAGCACGCTTTAACTCTCTCTGATTAGGCACCCGCGGGAGCGAGGAAAGGAAGGGAAAAGTGGCCCTCCCGAATTCGGGGAAGGGGGCCCACTCATAGTAGCCTTTTTCAGGCATACGCATGCTCCTGTCTACGTACCCCCCGTGCTGCTAGCAGATCTACCATGCTCGTATCCAGACACACGAACACCCTCCCCGGTTCGTCAAACTATTGACAAACCATCAGTGGGGCATGGATACTCCAGATCTACTTGAGTTACTTATACAACAACGGGTGCAAGGGAAAACTCGGCCATCCGGATCAAAAACCCTCGCCTGTAAACTCAAAACATAAAAGAAACCGTCGCTATTACGAAGGATTCCAACGGCCGCACTATCAGGGCAGGACCAAGGCAGGACAGATTGGACAGGCCACGCTGATTACACACCCGAAGCAATTGGTCAATAACCCTAAGCTCCCGCCGCGGGTGACGCCCCTGCCCAACGCTTCCTGCGTGACATACCATGGTCCGAGACGCGCCCAGTGCTAGAACAAAACAAAACAAACGCCACGAAAACGAGACCAGAACCCTACATCGGCAACTTCATCAGAGCCTTCCGGTGGTACTCCAACTTGCCCCTACCAAGGACCTTGGTCAGCATATCGGCGTGCTGCTCTTCTGTCGAGACATAATCTGCGGTGATCTTGCCCGCCTTGAAGAGCTCGCGGATGAAGTGGAACCGACCGTCGATATGCTTGCTCCTCGCCGAGCTGAAAGGGTTCTGCACCAACGCGAGAGCCCCCTCGTTGTCCTCACGGACCCTGATCGTGGCACCGCTCGTCTCGGGCGCAATGAACGACAGAACACCACGCACGAACAACTCTTCCTTCACGCCCTCCCCGGCTGCAAAATACTCTGCCTCGTTNCAACTTGCCCCTACCAAGGACCTTGGTCAGCATATCGGCGTGCTGCTCTGCTGTCGAGACATAGTCTGCGGTGATATTGCCCGCCTTGAAGAGCTCGCGGATGAAGTGGAACCGCTCGTCGATATGCTTGCTCCTCGCCGAGCTGAATGGGTTCTGCACCAACGCGAGAGCCCCCTCGTTGTCCTCACGGACCCTGATCGTGGCACCGCTCGTCTCGGGCGCAATGAACGACAGAACACCACGCACGAACAACGCTTCCTTCACGCCCTCCCCGGCTGCAATATACTCTGCCTCCGTGGTCGACTGAGCCGTCACTGGCTGTGTCTTCGTGGATGCGCACACTACGGTCCCACCTACAGTCACGGCTAGCCCCGTCGTCGAACGCCTGTCAACGGTGCTGTCGGCGTAACTAGAATCGACGAACACGTCTAGGTCTAGCCCTGATCCGCGGACGTAGGTGATCCCGAGGTCCTTCGTCTCGTTGAGGTAGGACATGATCCGCACAAGCGCGTTCCACATCCTCTCGGTGGGTGAGTGGGCGATCTTCTGCAGCTTGTTCAAAGGCAGCGCGATGTCCGGCCTCGTGAACAGCAACCACATCAGGCATCCGATCGCTTCCCTCACGGGCTTGTCCACCGAGGACTCGTCGTCTCTCTTCGGCCCTAGGTCATCGTCGACGACAGCGGGCGTGGGAGCAGTGGTCGTGACATTGAAGCGGTTGAGCATGCTCTCGATATAAGCCGTCTGGGACAGCTTGGTGGTACCATTCTCAAGGTCCACCTCAATGGCACACCCATCGTACCAGGTACAATCTCCTAGATCCTTCACAGGGAATCTCTTCTGGAGAGACGCTAGCAACTCTTCACGCTCCTCCTCGGTCGCGGACAACATGATGTCATCCACGTAGATCACGATGAGACCTACGACTTCTCCGTCAACCACCTTGCGGAAAATGCAGGGGTCCACCCTGCACTGCTCGTAGCCGTTTGAGATCAGGGCATCGGCAGCCTCAAACCCCCACTCGCGCCCACTCTGCTTGAGTCCATACAGAGCACGCTCGACTTTCACCGCCTTGCCAGTCCAAACACCACAACCGTCTGGAAGCCTCAGGTAGATTTCTTCCTTCAGCTTGGCGTGTGTGTACGCCTGCTTGATGTCCCAGTGGACAGGCCTCCTACCATTCTCGGTGGATACGGCCACCATAGTTTTGATGGACACCGCGGAAGGGCATGCGGATGATGAGTGGTGAAAATCCACACCGGGAATCTGAGAAAAACCACGCGCAACCATACGTGCTTTGAAGTCGACAATCAGCCCCTTCTCATTGGTCTTGTGCGAGAAAATCCACTTCGCACTGATGGCCTTACGCCCCTCGGGCAGACCGCTAATCTCGGAGAACGTCCCCGTCTTCTTGTGGCCGTCGAACTCCTTTGCTATGGCTGCTTCCCACAGCACCTTGTACTTGGAGTTAAGGACATCCTTGTACGTCAAGGGCACGCACTCTACATCACTTGGCTTCTGGCCGAAGGGCGAGGGGATACTTAGCTGCGGGTCATGAAGAGGTTGCGATGACCCGTCGTCCCCTGCCTCTGCACCGAACGCCTCCTCCTGCAGCTCGGTGCCGTACGGCAGCTCATGCATCTCACGCCGGTACTCGATGTTGACCTGCTCCTCGTCGTACCGCTCCCGCACCAGCGAGTTGGAAACGTAGTCCACGATGATCTCCGCCAGCAGCGCTTGCTCGGCGTCTGGCTCGGCGTCTGGACCCGGCGGCTCCTCGGGGCCTTGCAGCTCCCGGGTCTCCCTTCATGTTCGGCTGCGCTCGAGCCCGTGACGCAGCGGTCCTTCCTTCGAGGCGCCCCAGAGGAGCCGACGCCCTTCGCGGCCCGGCGGGTAGCGGCTGTTGGCGGGATCAAACTTGTACTCCTCGAGTTGCTCGGAGTCTTCGCCGGGTTCGCTGCCGCCGCCACCGCCATCTCCAGAGGCGCCGGGCTCACTGCCGCTGGCGCCGCCGCCGTCGTCGTCGCCGGCGGCGTTGCTGCTGCTGCTGTCGCTGTTGCTGCTGCTGCTGCTGCTGCTGCTGCTGCTGCTGCTGCTGCTGCTGCTGCTGCTGCTGCTGCGGTCACTGCTACTGCTGCTGCCGCTGCTGCGTCCATCGAAGCCGCCTCCTCCCGAAGGAGGCGACAGGGGGACGCCCGAACTAGCGTCCCCGGTCCCGTTGCCGGGTGCCGCCGGCGCCTTCTCTTGCACCGGCAGCGTCGCTCGCCCAGCCTCCGTCACGTCGAGGTCGGAATCAGACTCACTCTCCGAGTCTTTCCCCCCCCCNCTCTGCTTGCTCTCGTCCTCCCCGCCCTCTTCGTCGTCTGCGAGAGGCAGCAGCTGCGGGGAAGCGGGCGAAGCGGCGGGCACGTGACGCCAGGTGAAATTTCGGGACGTGACCACGCAACCAGCTTTGGTTGACAAGCGGATGCAGTCACGGGGGTGATTGTGGGCAGGCGCAAGGTACCATCCTTTCGCGCCCTTGGGTTGCGACTTTGCCTTTCTTCTCGATTTGAACA